TCAAGTGTGTCTCCACATTATTTTCTTTTTTCTTGAGGGAGGCTTGATAAAGTTTGACAAAATGTTCTAGCGTACGACAAATACGTGCCCAATGATCTCTCATACCACATCGGTGACACATACTAGCTTTACCTTTTGAATGATTAATTTGAGAACCCTTATTGTTCTCCAATTTATCTCCACCATAATGACGATAATTGTTTCGCCCCCTGCCACGTCCACGTTTACGACCATGATAATTATTTTGTTTTCTTTCAAACTTATCATATGTTGCTACAATNCTAGTTTGATGACTTTGAGGTCCTCTAAGAGTTGAGCACGGAAGGAAATAGTTATTTAATCACTTAATAAAATATGGCTCAACTTAGCTGGAGTTAAGAATAAAATTAGAACTTCGTGGTGATAACGTGTAATAAAATAAAAGTAATGCAGTAAAATGTAAATAAGAAGAGATAGAAAGAAGGGAGAAATGTTTTCTTCTTTCACTTTGGTGTATTTTTCCATTGCAATTACATGGCATTTTATAGGCATAAAAAGTAAAGATGATGGACATAAAGTAGGAAATTTAATATTTAAGTTATTCGCAACATGAACATCCAATCCAATGTAACATCTAATGTAGTATCCAAAGTAGTATCCAATGTACAAACTATTCATAACAATTAGTTGATTTGAATTCCATTTTTTTATAAACCATATATACTTGTTTGATAGTAGTTCAAACACAAAATTAACTACTTTCCAATAAATATTTTTTCTTAGTTTGTTTTTTCCACATAACCAAAAATATTTGCTAATTACCTTTTCAGGTTGTTTTTGGTTTGTATAAAAAAAAAAATTCCGGCATAAGAAAATCCCTACTAATAGGCATAGCCAAACACCTTTTACAGTCACTTTCTCAATCTCGCCGGAGAAAGGGAACTCCGATAATATGGGAAGCAGCAGCGGTAGCGACGTAGAAGCAGGATTCGCGAAGCTACAAGGCGAAGATTTCGAGTATTACATGCAAACGTACTCCATAATCCTCGGTCGGAACTCCAAAAAATCAACGGTCGACGTCGACTTATCATCACTCGGCGGCGGGATGAATATCTCCCGTCACCACGCGCGCATTTTTTACGACTTCCAACGACGCCGTTTTAACCTCGAAGTATTAGGCAAAAACGGGTGCTTCGTCGAAGGTGTACTTCACTTACCCGGTAACCCGCCGATCAAATTAGATTCACAGGACTTACTTCAGATCGGAGATAAAGAGTTTTATTTCCTCCTTCCTGTACGCAGTATCCTTGGTGGTGGGCCGCCTATTGGGCCTAAACAAAATGTGAATTATCCAGTGGCGGCCCATTATGGTGGGATAGGGAAAAAGGGGGGATTGTTTAGAGGGAGGGAGAGGGAGTATTATGATGAGGAGGAATATGATGATGATGACGATGATGATGATGGTACTGGAGGTAAAAAGATGAGGAGGTGTGATGGGGCTGAGGGTGGTGGTGGTTATGGATATGGTTCTTGTGGTTCCAGTGGAAAAGCTTCAATTTCTGGGCAATTAGGTCAGTAAGTTTTATCTGTTTTATGGTATAGATAGTAAGACCTCTCTGTGACGGCATTTCATTATAACAGACAGAGATTTGTTTTATGGTATTTAATCTTGGTTAATCATTATTTTCTTCCTAGCACATGTTAGAGGGCATTAGTTCTTTTTCTGTTTAAAATTGCACTTGTACCATGGTACTTTGCATTTGGATTTTTGTATTTTAATTCAGCTCCATTAAATTGAATTCTATGTTAACTTCTGTTTGTGGGATGATAATTGAGAATTGTGAAGTATCTGTTATGCTTGTAAATTGCTTAACACTAAAAAAGTCATCTTTTTGTTAGTGTATTGAGATTTTGGTATTCGATTGAACTACATTGAATTGAAATATATTTAACTTCTGTTTGTGGGAATGATAATTGAGGATTATGAAGGTTCTATTGTGCTCGTGAAGTACTAAGTTGTAAAAAGGTCATCTTTTGTTTAGTGTAAGGAGTTATTGACATTTCCACCGTGGAATACAGGTGTTTCCCTGAACAACTTTGTGTACAGAGATGCTTTTGCTCTGTTGAATTACTCTTTTGTCAATGACTGCAAGTGTAGAAGATTATATTTTATTTTCTTTTAAACCAGTTTGACCAGAATTCGCTCCGTAAACAGCAATGGTTTAGTTCCATGGCTTTAGCTCCTGCTGACAAATGCTCAAAGTGTGTACAGATTAAGATTCTGTTGTAGACTCTTTTTACAGCGCTTCGAGAGGCACAAAACGATTCAGCATGGCTTTGGACAGGTTTTGTGCTTAAATTAGTATTCAAAAACTGCTTCCCTGTGAAACGTACAAGTCATTTGTTCGACCTTTCCGTAAACTCGTTCCTTGAAATTAACCAAAGCATAAAAGTGGCTTGCTAAGACGGAAGCACCTCAGTCACCTCTAATGCCTACATGCGTAGAATATTTGATGCATAATCCACCTGGAATTTGGAAATCCTCTCTCTTACAATCTTCAAGCTTCAGGGATAGAAACTTCGTCGCGGATCATGTAACAGTAATTCATTTTTTTCTTTTGCCTTCTCTTTCCAGTAACCCCTCTGGTGATTGGTTTTCGTTTAGTGTTATTGTGTTGGACTCAATGGCTGTTTTGATTGTCCCAGACATATAAGCTGTCTTGCAACATTGGCTGTTTTAACTTGGGACTGAGGCATAGTCGTTTGACTGACAGTTATTTTCCATTTTGAGGTGTTTAAAGCATTGCTTGAACCCTACATATGCAGTGCGAATGATATCCGCGGCAGATTAGTAAATTCTTAAACATGGTTCTGACTTGTATGTTCTAATGATGTCATTAGGAAGAACGGCGGAAGTCTTAAAAAACTTTTTGTGATATTTAAGAATCATTGTACATATATTTAGGACATGATATGGGTACAAAATTTCATTTTTCTCCCCTTTGTATCCTGTACATTTCTATTCCAGTACCGGATTAGTCTTCCTTAAATGATTTACAAACTATAATTGTCAAGCATATATACTCAAAATCTGTTGGAAAAATCTGAAGTATGGAAGTTGTTTGGCTGAAACATGTTGCAGATAAGAAGACAGATGGAAGATTGCGTGTTGACGGAGATGCTGACAATCAGCAGCTCATGCAGTTAGAAGAAAAGGATGTCGTGTCATCTGTAGCTAATGTGCTTTCTGATCTCTGTGGTCCAGGAGAATGGATGCCAATGGAGAAGCTTCATGCTGAGGTAACTTTTGAAGCTATTTATCATATTATACAGAGACCAAAATTTTATTTGTCAAGCAAAGACTAAACTGTATGTCTATGTAAACAAACGAAAGAGGGAAAATTTTTTGCTGCTTTATTTGTCCCTCATTTTTTTCCGCCCTGAATTATCAGAACATGAAGTTAAATTTAGGTCAATGAAGTAATGTGAAAGCAGGACTGCCCACTCTCCTCCTTTGTGAGCTTCTTTTGCCCCTGAATACAATTTCGGTGCATAAGGTGGAACTTCCATTTTACATTCTCTGTTGTTTTTCCCGAATGCTAGAATAGCAGTATGAGTACATCTTCCTTGTCTTAATATTTTGGGCATAGAGAGTACTGGTTAGGTGTTAGGTATTTTGTCTTGCCATGAAGTTACCTCAGGTTTGTAAATTTATACAGTTCACCTTAATTTTCATCTGACAATAGTGGATATTTATCACACTTTCGGATCAATCTTTTGTGACTTGACAAGGCTTAAATCTGTCATTTCTTGATATTTCCTAACACCAATGCCTTTTCGTGGTGAATTTTTTTAGAAAAGAGCTTCTCCTGCCTGGTAAGGCTATGAAATTCTCCAGCTTCAAGTTTGATTGAAATAAGCTGGATGCTTTCCTACTTCTGTCATATGTACTCCTTTCCCTTTCGTCCCACTCCATATTTTCCTTTCTTTTTTTGGTTTTGGAAGGGTGGACTGGTTTTTTGTGTTTATTCAGAGGACGAGAAGGGGTAGATACGCCCTGGTTGACTTTTTCTCTTCATCCTCTTGATATTCACGTGGCTACTTCTTTCATTATCTTTTCTGTTGATTTTCTTATCATCCACTTGAAATTTAAGTGGCTATCTCTTTCATTATCTCTCTGTTGATTTTCTATTTCTTTCATTATCTTTTCTGTTTTCTCTCTGCTGCTCCCTGATCACCTCTCTCCGGAATATCAATGACCTTAACGGTAGGAGTTAATCTGACATTAATCTATCCAATAGAAAATAGAGATTCGTATATGATTCTATTTCAGAAATTTGTCATCTTTTAGGTACCCTTGAGTGAGGTTTCAGTTTTCTTTAATTAGTTCTTCTGAATACCTGAAGAACAGATCTTATACATAGCTCTTGTGTCAAGTAAACTGCTGATTCTGTACCCGCTTTTTTTTTTCCTGTGTCGCGCGCACACTGCAGACCAGTTTAAACAATAGATCTTTTTCAGCTATCAATTAAAAAAAGAAGAAATTTGTGGACTGTGGTTATATGCTTTCATTCTTGTTTTATGCTGTTTCATTATGAAGGGCCTCGGGTGGGTCTGGAAGAACATATCTTCATGTCATGTGAAGTGACGGTTCTCAAGCGCAAATCTAATATTGACAGTCTTGTCTCATCTAAAATGGATCCAAAACGATACTCTTTTATCTTAACTTTAGTGTATGAGATACTATTACTGCTTAATTTCTCATTGTAGTATTTGGATAATTCCTTCCCCGTTTCTGAGTCGTAGGCAGTAGAATTTATCTGTCTTTGTTTGAGAATTGGACTTTTTGCTGATAGCCAGCTGCTGTATTTACAGTTGGTTGAACACTATGGCAATACGTGGCACCATAGTCGTGTGAGGAGATATCTGACATCAGAGGACTATCCCAGCCCAGAAGCCAAAACGAAGCCATGGTATGGATTGTTGATGCTGTTAAGGAAATATCCAGAGCATTTTGTCATCAATACGCGGTCCAAGGGACGGGTGACTTTGGAGTTTGTTTCTCTTGTCTCACTGATTTCTTGAGAACTAGTAACAATTTTTAGCCGTGAAGTTGTAATTGAGCTTCAAGTCAATAGTGTGAAACATGTGGCCTGAAACACTTTCCATCTAGCATCTTTTGCCTCTATTGGGATTTGAACTCTGGTCTTCCATTGTCCATTCCAGCTTTATGGAACGGTTAGTCACACGCTCGAGTGCTCAAACGTTAATGATATGTACTTCCTTTAGGTCTCAAATATTTACCTTTTCCAGCCCATTTTGTGGTTGTGTTCTACTTTACAAGATGAAATTATCTCCAAAATATCTCAATAACTTTTGCCCCGTAAGCATTTTTCACTTTCTATGCTTATTCAAAACTCGCTGTTGTTCCTGTGTTTCTTTTCATTTTTCATTGAGCCGAGGGCCTCCGAAAACAGCTTCTCTACCTCCACGAGGTAGTGGTAAGGTCTGCGTACATACTACCTTTCCAGATCCCACTTATGGGATTTCACTGGGTATATTCTATTTGTTGTATGTTTATTCAAATCAATACCGAAACAATTGAAGGATATATCTATTACTTATAATTATTAACTTGAGCTATATTTGCGTAGACTTGTACAAGTTCCTTCTTTTCAACGCAAGTCGTTGTAAAATACATGTTTTTTATTCTTGTTTCACTCTGCAAATGTAGTAACACGGTCATTAGAGATTGAGACAGTAATTGTTATCTTGTTTCACTCTGCTAATGATAGTATATAAAGAAGGGCAGTATTGGCTATAATTGATTTTGATTCGAAAAATCGCTTCAATTCACATTTCACACTACGCCAATTTCTTTCTATAGAGAATCTTTCGATGGAGAACAGTGTACTCCAAATACATTGGACCACTGATCTTCAAATAACGAATATTAGCCAAAATATAATAATTATTGAAAGTAGATGGGTGCAAAGTTTCCTGCAATTGACCTGGCATATGGCAACTACAAGCAAAGAAAAATAATTCTATATTATACTAGTTATATTAGTACTAATTAATTGGTGAAAACTAAGAAGAAATCAACAAATAAATATCGGGGCTTTTGTTCAATATTTCTCAATAGGAAAATGACACTGCCGCTCCTAAAATAATAGCCGAAAAAATATATATTTTTTGTATATACATTATATTCTGTATGTTACATACAAAAGTTATACAAATTTTATATACTTTTTCGGCTACCGAATATAAATAGTTTCTGGCACATGCTAAAAGTGATTAGGGATTTTTACCTTCCTATACCATATATGAAACCTTATTACCCTCAATGTTTAAGGTTTGTGTTTATTACATTTCAGCATACCAAATTACCATTTATATACCATAATTAATTTAGAGGTATAATTAATTGGCAGTTTCTTACTCCTTAATTAAAGGTGTCCATATATCCCACGTTTCTCTCTCCCCTTAATTACTAAGATCTGACCAGCCCGTTTTCCCCCTCCCATTTCTTTCTCTTCTCCGTTTCTATTTCTCGTTTCTTTCTTATTCTACTCTGTTTTGCTTTTTAATCCATTTTTATAAACATAAAAAGTATACTAAATAAGTTGTTGGTTAGGTGATGAATCTCATTTTAGCTAGTAATTCATGTAATAATTGCTAAAATTGTAGTAGCTAAATGAAGCTATTTTGCCAGCATAAGTTGACGGAAGCTGTGTTGATTTGATAGCTGTACACAGTACACTTGTGGGTGGTTCTTCAATTACCGGAAAAAAATATCGAAGAGTACATGGTCAGCACCACCGTCGCTGCTCCTTTTTACCATCGCTATTGGAGATTTCAGAAGGTGTGTTGCTTGTGGTAGACTTGTAGGTAGTCGTCCGATTGCCAGAAAAGTTACCGGAGTCGGAAAAGTTCAATGTACCAATCCAATAAATGGTGACGATTTTTGTAGATGAAGAGCAAATTTTGTTGTCAATATTTTTTTTTCACATAAGATTGTAGTTTAATTGTAGTATAAATGTAGTAATTTTGTAGAAATTGTAGATAAATTGTAGAAAAATTAGAAAAATTGTAGATAAATTGTAGACTGTTTTTTGCAGAAGATTTTGTAGAAGCTTTAGTCGTTTTGGATTTGTGAAAACAGAAAACAATGCATCTACAAACATAATACAAATAATCTACAATTTATCTACAAGATATCTACAAACTGGATACATTGAATTTTAATATCCCAATTCTCATTTCAATTGTAGCATAATTGGCATTTTCGACATAATTGTAGAAGATTTGTAGAAGTTTTAGTCTTCCCAATCTACAATTTATCTACAATTTCTGGAAATACTTCTTCTTCTTCTTCTTCTTCTTCTTCTTCTTCTTCTTCTTCGAGTTTCAATCTGAAATTCAGTCAAAACCAAGTCTAATCTTCACCAAAACTCCTCAAAATTGAGATATAAACTCCTAAACTTATTCCGAATTATTTACAATAACACCCAATCCAAACAAATAATGATTTTTGAAAACCCAAATTTGAATTCAAAGCTTTCAAGCTTTTTAATGGCTATCAATGGTGGAAAATATATGGAAGAACAGATTTTTTCAACTTTGAGTTGTTGAAACTCGAAAATTTGAATTGTTCGTTCTTTTTTTTTCTCGAGAATTTGAATTGTAGTTCTGGAGAAAAATACACAGATGAGAAATCTCCTTTCCCTTTTTAAAAATTGAATTTAATGTATAATCAATTAACACAAAGATTCTCTCCTTAATTTTAGCGTGTTTTAGGGAATATTCTGCCCTTTTAATGCCTAATAGTCGAATGGTATATAAATTGTAGTTAAAGTATGGACTGGACGAGTAATTAACAAACTATGCACATTTAGGGTAATAAGAAAAATCCCAAGTGATAATACCCCGTTCTCAATTAACTTGGCCCATATGGTCTCAAACTGTAGGCCCATTACCACTTATCCCCTCAATGTAAAACTGAACAAACCCAAATGACCGATTATCTCTAGAGAAGGTTTTAGAGGAGCTGAGCTTGAGCAAACAGGAGATTAGGGTTTTGTGTACTCCATCATTTGCCTCTGACCAACGACGATGATTTACGACGTTAATTCTCCGCTTTTCCGCTCCTTCCTCAGCCAGAAAGGAGGCGCCTCCGACAAAAGGTACATTTTAATTTTCTCGTTAACCTTAAATTCATCAATGTTTTATGCTTTTTATTCGCATTTTCTCTAAAATGGAAGACTTCTTGTCCAAACTAGCGAGCGTTATATTTCATGCCAGTTCCTTTTGCTTGTTTCCTTTTATGGTGTGCTATGGGCAAACTTTGCATAAATTTTATATATAAATATCTCAATTAGCTCAGCTCTGCTGTATGGCAGTGATGAGTTGTTTCAAGTGTTTAACCAGTAGAAAATGTGCTAGCTAGGCAATTTTGTGAATGTTTTCGTATTCACAACAATATGATGCAGTCAACATTTTTTTCGTTTTCACAAATATTCAGTGGAGAAACATATTTGATTATGGCTTGTTTTACGGCCTACCTTAGTTGGTGTTAAGAAGCTGAAGCATTCTCAGCCGAAATGATGAGGGATATTCCTACAGAATTTCATGTACCTGATGTCGAAGAATCTCATGATGTCTAACTGGATACATCTCTGTTCGCTCTGCTTTATTGCATGACAGTGATGAGTTATTAAGTGTTTGACCAGTAGAAAATATGTTTGACAGGAAATTGTGTGAATGTTCTTTCATATTCACAACTATATGATGCCCTGACTATTATTTTCATGCTTTGTCAATATACTTCCTTGTAACTGCTAAGTGTTTGTAAGACTGAAATTTTGATTCAGCTTCAGAAATAAAGCAATGAGAAAACATGTTTGATTGTGGCTTATTTGGTGGCCTATTCAGTTGGTATTAATGTTCTTAAGAAGCTGAAGCAATCCCAATCAAGATGATGAGAGATTTTCTTACTAAATGTCATTTATTTGAGCACAAAGCATCTCATGATTGGTTTTAACATGATTTTGGATCTAATGTTGATCTGTAAATATTATCGTTAGGCGAGCTGCTGCTTGTGGCAACTCAGTTCCTCAATTATTAAAATATCAGATAGTGTCTAAGATGGCATATAGTGCTTCTAATGGGTTTTTAGTGCAGTGAAAGAATATAGAAGCTTTTGTAAATGGTATTTTCTTTTCTTTAGGGATAAAAAGAATGGTCTTTTCTTTTCTGAATGTTCTCGTTACTCAAGCTGCTGCTTGTGGCAAGTCAGCTCTTCAATTATTAAAACATTCAGATGAAGTGTCTCAGATGGTTTATAGTGCTTGTTAATGGGCTTTACGTGCAACAAAAGAATTATTATGAAATTTCCTTAATGTTTTTTTTTCTTTCCTATTGTTCTTGTTAGTCAAGCTGCTTCTTGTGGAGATCTCCAATTATCAAAACCATTAGGGAATCCTGAAGATTGCTTGTTGAGCTCGTTAATGAGTTTTAAGTGCAACAAGAGAATTGTCGAGGTCTTTCATAAGTGGCTCTTTGTTTGGTGCTCCATCTCCTATCTTTATTTAGTGTAGTTTTTATGTCAACTTGGTGTGGTTCCGTCCCTCACCCCAAACTAGGGGAGATCCCTTCCTTGGCACGTCGTCATAGTCAAGGNTATATATATATATATTCCCTGTAAACTTCCATCAAATTATAGGGTTAAAATTTGATGATATCAGGTTATAATTTATAAAACCTTCATCTTTTAGGCTCTTGTAGTTATTTCCTTATGTCTTTTCGTCATGTTCACTCTGGTCTCTCCATGGTGAATACTCTGATGTGTCTGCACATTTTAATGCTAACTGCATGTTGATCTTGATATAACGGCAGCGCCTCTAATACTTTGTCTAATTGTCTAGGAAAACTGAAGAGCAGAGGCCCAAGGAACAGAGGCCAAAAGCAAGTGATAACAAGCCTGTTATGAATGAGTGAGAGTTGCCAGATGTGAACTTATTTAGATTATTTGAAATGTTGTTAAGCAACTCTTTTAAAGATGTTGAGCACGCAATTGTCATTTGAATAGATCTATCTCTTAAGTTTTTTGATCATTGACTTCTATTGGTCTTAATCTATACAAGCTTTTAAGTATGCTGCCTTTGCGTTTTCTTTACTTTTTTTTCAAGGGTTTCTCTTCCTCTCAATTCCTCCGTGGCATCGTCATCAGCAACAACTACTGAGCAGAATATTCTGATCTTGAAATCATCCGGCGGTGATGAATTTGAGATGAAAGAATCTATCGCTGTTCAATCCGTAACCATCAAAAACATGGTGGAAGATGGTTACAGCATAATCCCACTCCTAAATGTCAATACCTGAACCCTAACCAAAATTATCGAGTACATGAAGAAGCACAGTGATGACAAGATGAATCTGAATGAAGAAGATATCAAAAACTTTGAGAAGAAGGATCTGAATGAAAAAGATATCAAAAATTTCGACAAGGAATTCGTGAACACTAGCTTCAAATACCTGTTTGAAGTTCTATTTGCTGCTAATTACCTTAACATTAAGGGCTTATTTGAGTTTTTATGTGAGACGATTGCTGATAGAATTAAGAACAAGTCGGTGAAGGTTGTTAGGAAGATATTTAATGTCACAAATGATTACACCGAAGAGGAAGAGGCAAAGGTTTATGAGGAAAATAAGTGGGCCTTTGAAGGAGAACGTGACAAACCTGTTGATTAGTTTGTGTTTGTGATCTTTGGGGGTAGTAATTAGTTTCTGGAAACATATCTGGTGGTTATGGTATCTAGTTAAGTGTTATGTAGTTCAGTTCTGACAAATGGTATATATAATTCTCTAACAAATAGAAGAGTGCTAGCAAAAATGTAAACGAGCGTTGTATCGCATGCCAGCTCCTTTTGCTTGTTTCCTTTTTGGTGCGCTACAGTGATGAGTTGTTAAGTGTTTAACAAGCAGAGGAATGTTTGACAGGCTATTATGTGAATGTTTTCGTATTAACTATACGATGCCCAAGAAATATCGGGAGAGATGATCAGGTAGGACATGACGAGACTTCAGAATTCCGTGGACATGACCTTTGATAGGAAGGTGTAGAGGTCGAATATTAGGGTTCTAGGTTAGGAAGTAGTAGAGTACTTTTCTACTTCGTTCCGAACGAGAGGCTAGTCTGATAGGGTTGTGTCCTAGACTGCAAGTTGTTATTGTTGTGTCCACACTATTCTTCCACTTTTCATAGTACCGACTACCGAGCCTTATGTGTTATTGTTATTGCTTTTTATCTATTTTCTGGTACTTATGATGTTATTATTTTTATGATTTTTGTTTATGATACTGATATATTGTCTTTTTTATCTTCTTGAGCCGAGGGTCTATCGGAAACAGTCTCTCTACTCCTTGGGGTAGGGGTAAGGTTTGCGTACACGCTGCCCTCCCAGGACCCAAAAAAGGTGTTAGAGCGCGTTCTGCATTTGATATTTGAATATATCATCACACTATAACCGGAGAGAATTTAGATCAAAATTTCACCTAATTAGGAGGAGTAATAAAGTGACAATCATAAAGATTCCAACCAGGGTTAGGTAAGTTTCGACAAAAATAGCAAATTATGGTGGGTAGAAGAGTTAAAATTCCTAAGGAAAATGAGGATGCCTTCAATTGTTAGTTCGTGACTTTTCTTATTTTTCTAAGTCACCTTTATTTTTATTTTACACATAGTTTATGGGGAGCGAGGAATTCAACTGAATAATGATCATTTGGCTGGTTTTTTCTGGAGTCGTTGATTGTTAATCATTCCCTTATTTCATGATACTATTAGTGGGCGTTTGGATATAAGAATTGTAAAATTCCAAAAAAGGATAAATTTTTTTTTAAAGTGAATATGGTATTTGAAATTTTTAGTTGTGTTTGGATATGAATATAATTTTGGGTTGTTTTTGAAGTTTTTTGAGTGAAAATTTTGAAAAATAAGTTTTTGGAGTTTTTCAAATTTTCGAAAATTTCCAAAATGCATTTTCAATTGAAAATTTTATGAACAAACGCTGATTTCGGAAAAAAGGAAAAAATTTCTTATGTCCAAACGGGCTCTTAGTATAATATTTTGTGTTAGCGTATATGAGTTATAGCCTGTTTGGCCAAGCTTATTTTTGGCCAAGCTTCGGGAAGGAAAAAAATTGCTTTTGAGGAGAAGCAGAAAAAAATAACTTCTTTCCAAAAATACTTTTTTGAGAAGTACTTTTGAGAAAAATACACTTAGAAGCAGTTTTTTAAAGCTTGGTCAAACACTAATTGCTGCTCAGAAGAACTTTTCAAACTAATTAGCCAAACACAAACTGCTCCTCACCAAAAATACTTTTGAGAAAAATACACTTAGAAGCAGTTTTTTAAAGCTTGGTCAAACACTAATTGCTGCTCAGAAGAACTTTTCAAACTAATTAGCCAAACACAAACTGCTCCTCACCAAAAATACTTTTGAGAAAAACACTTTTGAAAAAAAAACTTCTCAAAATAACTTGATTTTTGCAGCTTGGCCAAACAGGCTATTAGTTTCTTTTATAGGTTTGACATGATTCCACTATTACTGAAATTTTACCACTTATAGGTGATTATTTACTTCGTTCGTCTCAACTTATGCAATATAAATTTTATTTCAATAAACTTAAGAAATTTATATCTATATTTATAAAAATTAAGAAATTTAACTCTTGAAATTCTTAAGAAATTTATATCTATATTTATAAAAATTAAGAAATTTAACTCTTGAAATATAACAAAAGAGGTATATTTTTTTCCCAAGTCATAATATGCACTTAGTAGTATATTCAGAGTTGACGTCTACATAATTAATTTTTAAATATTCTACACTTATATAAAAAATTTAAATCGCACAGCGACGCAAACAGATGTTTTTTAAGAGAGTAAACTCAATCCTTTTTCCTTTATTCACGCCGCATTTACCATCACAATAATACATTTCTTCCTTTGTTTGCCCTATCAAGACAGAAGNCCACTCCCTCTTCTACTCCACTAGTTTTGAGAAAAAAATACGTCTGAGCTGTATTTATATAGCAGTTTTACTACTTCTACAAAGTCTCAAATTTCAAGTCTTCCCTCTGACTTGTTCTTCTTTTGTCCCTTCATTTTCTCTAGCCCTATTTACTTCATTCTCTTCTTTCCACAACTTCTAAAAATCCTATCTTTATTCTCCCCTCTCTTCATTATAACTTCCCTTTTGCTCCTTTCCCTCATCCTATACTCCCAACTCTTTTTCCCCAGATTTTTTTTTGAATCAGGCAAGTTTAGTATTTTGCACTCTGCATACCACTCTTTAGTACAAAGTTTAAGGTTTCAGATTGATAATGAAAGTGCCTCGCTTCATCTTATTGTGCTGAGGGTCTATCGAAAACAGTCTCTCTACCTCTTCGGACTAGGGGTAAGGTCTGCATATACACTACCCTCCGCAGACCCGACTTGTGAGATTTCACTGAGTTGTTGTTGTTGTATTGATAATGAAAGTGAGGATCTTTATTGTTTTGAGCATTTTGCAGCCTACAATATCATGTTTGGTACGTCTATGATCAGTTTTCTAGGAACCCCAACTGAATTCTTGGACTGTAAATCAGCTGAGGAAAGTGAAAGTCCAATTCTTGATTCTTCAGGTTATAATAAGAGATAAATTGGGAGAAAATTGAGTTGAAATGGGGAGTACTAAGGGTACCATGGATAAGAAGATATTAGTAGACTTCTTGAAAGAATTGGATGAGTTTGAAAATATAAATTGGAGTTATACAGTTGAAGAGAAAAAAATTGAGCCAAAGGGCAGAAAAATCTATAAAGCAAAAGACTGGAAAAGGACATTGGCATGCAAATTTTATGAGGAAAGGGAAAATGTTAGTGATAGAAGTGGTGAAGGAATGGATTTATTATGGGAAAAGTATGAAATGGAAGCCATAAATTACAATACAAAAAGAGATAATAGTAATACAAAGAAGAAGATGAAGAGAAAAGGAGAGCTTAATGGCTATTTTAAAGAGGAGAAAAAAGAGGTGAATGAGCAAATTGAGCAATTGTGTTGCTTACAGGCACTAAAATTCTCAGCTGGGAAAGTGAATTTGGGAATAGGAAGGGCTAATCTTGTAAGGATTTCTAAAGCAATTAAAGGATTTGGATGGCTATATCATGTAAACAAGAATAACAAGAAAGTGCATTGTGGAGATAGATTTTAGTGTAGTAATATTACTTTACTTTCTATGAATAAAACTAGCAGCTAAAAGGAATTGTTTGTAGTACTACTATATATTTCTCCATTGTAACTTCTTGTCATTTTGACATATTGTAGCTACATGACAAGAAATAATCACAAATTTTATTGCATTGTAGCAAATTTTATTGGCAATAACTGCGTCTGAGTCTCAAACAAATATATATGAATTCCCTTTGACCATGTCGCTTCATTTAATCTCTCATTTATGGTCTTTATTGTGAGGATTCATTACAAATTCACTACTCTTATGTTATCTGTCAACCTCCTGCAACTCTCATCTTTTATCCGGGATTAGAAACAAGCAATATAAGTGAAACAACATACTTCGTCTGTCTCAATTTAGATGACACATTTTCCTTATTAGTTCGTTCAAAAGAAGAATGACACATTGCTATAATTAGAAATAGTTCACTTTAAACATTTTAATTTACCCAGTTTACCCTTAATGAGAAGCTATTGAAACCACACAAATGTCATGATCCCACAAATCTTATTTCCTTTAAGCTTTTAAGATCATTAAAAATCTTCTTTCTTTTTTCCCTCAAATTTCTTGCCGAGTCAAACTACCCATCTAAATTTGAAATGCAGGGAGTAGTTTTTTTGGGTGGTATGGAAAGAAATAAAACTACAGAAAAATTATTATGATCCCAAGACAATATAGTTTTACATATAGAAGCAATAGTGATGCAATGGAGATTTGGCAATTAGGCTTAAAACAAGATAGTAGTAAACAATACTTATATAAAACAGTAAAACGGCATTAGCTCTTCCTTTCCCAAAACAAGATTATCATGCTGATACAAATTACTCCATTTATTTGGAATAGGCCTTAGCCTGCACTGCAAAAAACAAAACAAAAAACTAATATCGTGTTGATGAAAATCAAAGAAAATTTGTAACACTATTATCTTCTGTACAAATCTTAATGACTAATTAATGTCCTCTTCTATATCATTCTCACTTACATTTACTGGTATCTTCATCTCTAACAATAGACAATAGTGTTAATCTATTTACTACGAATATACATATCAGAACAGCCTTTACCTTCATTTGTAGGAGCATCAGTTTTGAGGTTGGTAATCTTCATCATTCTCAATTACATCTACTGGTATATTCATATGTAGCTTTAAGTATCTCTTCTTGAACGGTAAAAGATTTGTGCGTATTCGACTCCTCCGTCCAATATTAATATCCTAAATCAAGAAAATGATCATTTTCAACTCACCCTTTAATTTAAGACACAGTATATATGATCAAGAAATTAAAAAAAATACTCTAGTTTTTATAGAATTAAGTTAGAGAATTTTACTTGAACTGATGATGAAGCGATAATCGGAATCTCATATAATGTGCTCCTTGGTTTTCTTGGTACATCCATCTGAGGTAATCTATCCAAAAGTCCCTGCTGTTTATTTTCATCTTCTTTTCCAGAATTTGACTCCATTTTTTGCTTATTTTTGCCTTTATCTTTATCAGACATCTTGAGTTTCTTGATTCTGGGGTTGAAGCTCTTATGAATAAGATGATGAAGAAATGAATTAGACGCAGAAAGCAAGAAAGAAAAAGAGAGGGAAATGGGACGTTAATTTGAAATATTTATAAGTAACAACTTTTGTAGACTGTTTTTTTTTTTTTTTTTTTGATTGCATGCTGAGTTATGAACATACGATCACCTATTTATAATTTCACTCAACGAACCGTTTTGCTTTCATTTTTATTGATTTATTTGTAGTTTTATTTTGAACTCATTTTGGAAAAAAAAAAGTTCACCTATGGTAAACACATGAGTCCATTACTCAAATAACCACTTAATTATTTAAAATTATGGACTAAAGTTACTTTTCTTCATTTGTAATATGAAAGTCACTCAATTATTTCTATTGCACATAAATAATCACTCAACCGAAATTGTCAAATTTTTTGGTGGAAAAATATAACGTGGTAGTCCATATGGATTTTTTTTTACCAAATAAAATAATCAACACCTAAACAAAACACACAAAATAATCACTCATACACCCAACTTAAACCGCCAACAATAAAAATTCATCCGCTAAATAAATTCAAATGCTAAAACACATTACTATTGCAAATGCATCTCTAAAGCAATTTTTTTTATGGTTTCACTCTAGTTCTTAATCAAATACCCATTATTATTTTATAAAAAGTATAAAAAAAATTGTGAAAAGAAGAATACAGGTCATTGAAAAAAAAACACAAGTCACTCTGGTCTTTAGTCCTTAACCTCGTACCTAGTATTATTTTATAAAACTAGAGTAAAAACATAAAAAAAGAAGAATGCATTTACAACATGGATGTGTTTTAGCGTTTTGGTTTTATTTAGTGATAGATTTTTATTTTTAGTGGGTCGAGTTGGGTGTATAGTTGAATTTTCTATGTTTTGTTTGGGTGTTAATTGTTTTATTTGGTCCAAAAATATAAAAAGTCCACGTGGACTGCCACATCATATTTTTTCATAAAAAAGTTTGATAATTCCGATTGAGTGACCATCTGTGTGCAATCGGAATAGTTGAGTGGCTTTCTTGTTACAAACGAAAGAAAAGTGACTTTAATCTATAATTTTGAATAGTTGGGTATTCATCTAAGTAATGAACTCGTAAACATATACTATATTGTATTTACTATTCGTAGCTATACTTTCATAAAAATACCATTCGTAGCTATATTGGAATTTTATAGCAAATTCACGTGTAGTACTGAAACAAGAAATCAATAGTTTTAAACTGAAACAAGAGACCAACAAGTTCTCGCATCTCAATTGGTTAGAGTGCTCGCTTAGTAAGCGGTGGTCTTGAGTTTGACTCTCAATGAGATCCTTCTATTTTTCTGTATCTATGTATTTTACCTGGGTTGTATTCGCTGCACAAACGAATACAGTCGATACAATCATTTGTATACACCCATGCATTTCGTCTTGGTTGTATTCGTTGCGCGAACGAATATAGTTGACATGTGTTATATTCATTGCGCATCTGAATATAAGTGATACAAGGTGGTAACAATTAAATAATAGCTGCAAATTACGTATGGTAATTAGGCTCTAAATTGAAGTGCTTTATGAAAATTTCTCTATTTTTTTCCGTTGTTGTTTCTATTGCTTTTATCATAATTTAACCAATGGTAAAGAATACGTACATTTTTTTTTGTTTTATTTATCATAGTTTACCATTTGTAAAGAATACGTACATTTTTTCTGTTTTATTCTTTTGGGAGGCCAGGGGAAGGCAATGTTTAGTGAGAACCTAACAATGGCATAGTTATATCAATAAAATAGTAACTTATTTCTTTATTTAATTGTCTTAGAGCCCGTTTGGGCATAAGAAAATTTTCCTTTTTTTCAATTTTTTCTTTTTTAAAATAGTGTTTGGTTATTAAAATCTTACAATTTTTCCAATCTTAGTTGAAAATACATTTTCAAATTTGAAAAATTGGTGAGAACCAGCTTTTCAATTGAAAATGAGAAGGTTGCTAGTTTTTAGTTGTAAAATATGTTGAAAAAAAGACATTCAAATATGTAGCAAAAATTGTAATCAAACACAACTTCATCTTCAATTTAAATTTTAGTAAATTTCAAATTTGAAACAAAATTTTGGAATTCATGTCCAAACGCCTACTTAATAGTCACAAATAAAAATGATATCCTGCTACCTAATTTTTTTATGGGGGTGAGAGACAAAATATCTCTTTTGATTTTTGATATCATGATGATCGAATGTGTTAACAAGAAATTATGCTAGATCTAAAATTACATGAAGGATAATTATATCAAGGTATCATATTTTCTTGGAATTCATACAAATTTAACGAAAAAAAGAACATAACGAAAACGAAGTCCGAAATAGGTAGCATCAACTAATTGAATATAAGTATTTTTGTCTCAATTTACGTGATACGTTTCAAATTTTGAGACTTAAACTTCTTAATTTTGACCTAGGGGTGTACAAAGGAAATTGACAAACCGCACCAACTCGATAATCCGCGTCAAACCGAGAAAAAAAACCCAACTATGGTTTGTTTTGATTTGGTTTGGTGTTGGAAAAATGTACCCGACCATAATTGGTTTAGTTTGGTTTTAACTAAAGAAAGTCAAACCGAAACCAAACCGAAACCAAACCAACACGAAATTACATATATAGAAATTTTAGATATATTTAATATATAAATATATTTATTGTGATGTAATTTATAAATATTTCTCAAACTTTTTCATAATTTTATCTTTTAAGGTATAATTTCAATGTTGGACTTAGAACTTTTGAATGTTCCAATAATTTTTATAGCCATTAATATTAATAACTTAAATAATGCTAACAAAAGCCCAAACCAAAATCAAATCAATACTAATGCTAACAAAAGACATTTTATTCAACACTACGAACGACAATGTATTAAATATCTATCTTTTGTTTTGCAATAATTTAGATGAAGATACATAATCTATTTTTATTTTTGCTTTAGCGTTTAGTCATGTAATTAATACTCCCTTATTAGTCTACTTATTTTAGCATGACTTAGTACTTTTAGATTATGTTTATTTTTAGTATGCCTTTTTAATTAGCAATATTTATATTACATAATTTAATTGTCCTTATTATTGAATATTTTAGGATAATGCCATGACACATCTCATATTTTGTATTATTTTCTTGGAAAATACCTTATATAGTTGTATCTTACTAGGATTGAAGAAATCTCTTGAGCACAAGTATATATTTTGTGCTACAAAGATTTTACCGGAAAAAAACCGAAAAATCCGAATAACCCGAAAACGCAAGAAAAACCGAGATTGAAAAATTCGAGTTTTATTGGATTGATTTGGTCTTTAGATTTAATAACCCGACACAATTGGTTTGGTTTGGTAATTGAAAAATTCGAACCAATCCGACCTATGTACACCCTTATTTTGACCGTGGATTCAGAATAGAATTCTGTAAGTTT